TAAGCGTAACTTTTTGATCCATTCCATCATAATTGAATGGTCACAAAATGCTTTTGGCTGTACTGTATGTACCACCGAAGAGTCACCAAAGGATGGATCTGATACCTCTTGTGATTCAGGGCCACCAGGCACTCCAGCAAAAACGACAAATGGTGCTAGCTTTTTACCAGTCTCGGATGCGCACAAAAAGCCGCTACTGCGTCCGCTGTTTACCGCAGTTCCTTGGGCAACGTCGACGTTCTTAGCCCCGCAGTAGTCAATGGTCAGCCGGCCGGGGTTGTCCATACAAACCGTCGTCTGATCCATGTTAAACAGGCCGGCATATTTGGTATTGTAGGACGCATGAAAAAGATACACGCCATCTTCTTCAACAGCAGCATTGCCATCTTCTTCAACAGCAACATTGACTGAATTATCGAAAGCATCATCAACGTCCTAGCAGTAAAACGCAAAATAGACATTATATACAAAATAAAAAAAAACACAAGTTTAATCGAGAAAAAAAACTTGCATGCAAAAATTCAAATAGATCACAGCAAATTCACCTGCATTTCGTTGCGAAGCTTAGTGCCTTTGTGGATAATACGGCGGACTACAAGACGATTGCGCTTGAGGAAACGCACTGTCCACGAGTGAAGAGCCGTGTATTGACGTGCAGCAGCAAAATCGCCGTCAAACTTAGCGATCATCAGCGTTAAGCACTTAGTTGTCAGACATAACTTGCGGGTTTTGCGAATCTCTTCTACGTAGGGATAGTAACCTGGTCACAGAGGCTTAGTTTTTATTAAAACGTGCATTTTAGAGCAGCAAGAGCACTTACTTTGCCTCTAACTCAGGGTAGCGAACACGTAATGCCTGGTGGGCACTCGAAAAAACGTAGCACTTGCCTCCAATCTTTTTGTCTGTAAGAAGGGCGGCACGTTTTTTCCACTATACACACTCGAGCGATGCACCGACAAGCTCGCTGCCACTGCTGATACGGGGGCTGTCTCGGCTGCTGTTACTCCTATTCAAAGAGTGTATATAAAAGTTAGTTTTGTATCATATTTGCGTCCTATAACTACATCTTACTTTGAGCTTTGTCCGATTCGTGTTCTAAGGTCTTCGGTGCATGGGTGCCGGTTGATTTCTGCTGGATGGATGTCATCGACACCCCCTCAATAAAAACTCGAATGAGGTTTTTCACACTCACTTGATTTGAGCCATTCAAACCTGTCGCACTGGGCCCGATAAATACGGTAAATAAGCGCAATACTTACGACAATATCCGGAGCTTCCCGGGCAACGCACGCTATTAGTCAAAACAGGTTGTGGCCGAAAGTTTTTTCTTTTCCTGCCACGCAAAATTGCAGTACATGTAGTACCCGAAGCACCAAAGATCACCGTACTTCAACGTGCAAGTGCGTAGTTATGGGGGGGGCTTCGGCGAATTAGTACTATAGATTTACACGTTTGTCAGCGGTAAAGACATGTACGCAGCTCAGACGATGGAGCGCACGGTACTAATGTGCAATCGCACCAAATGAAGCTTTGTAAAATCGACTATTCTGTGTAGTACTTCGAAGTAAAAAAAACATCAAACATCATTGCCTTTCTTCATTTAATTCTTCTTACCGCCATTTTGCATCATGATGTCTCCGGACCAGCCCAAGAAGAGGAAGGTGTGCGCCAAAGGGATGGACGAACGAGCTCACGCCAGGTTTGCTACCACGAGGGTTGACCTGGTCACGCTACCCGACGACGCACAAATCCTCGCTGACGTCGCGGAAACAGTTCACACTTTGTACGACGAGAAGCAAACAAAAAGAAAGAGCTTGCTTGCTCATGTCCTGCAGTCGCAACGCTCTATCAATGAGGATGAAGAGTACGGTGAAGCAAAGGAGAAGCTTCTAGACGTGGAAGTATCGGACAACCGCGTCACGGTCTCATTGAAGCAGCACGACGTTCCTCGAGACTTCAACATGCTAATCGAGTACTCTCATGAAAGTGCCAGAGGAGTCCCAAGCGCTTTTATAACCCTAAGAGGAGAAACTATCAAGCCGTTTTTCAGTTTGATTTTTACCTAAAAACGGACCTTATTATTGGTTGTTGTGGATCCGCGCACCCCCGATGTCTGGAAAGACTGCGATGTTCCATCTACTCAACAATAAAAATAATTCGATCCAAGGTGGATGCTAGGGTTGTGCTCATTCAAGCCAACAACTTAAGCTGGGGGAGGTTGTATCGACATGTTTTCGACGTTTGTATGGTCGTGATTTTGGACGGTTCTTCGAGAGCAAATCAGAAAAGGTGGTAGTCATTGATGAAGCACAACTCACCCTACAAAGATCACCAGCTATGGGCTGGATTTGCGAAAGGCATTTTCGAGTCACAGTCACGCATACGCTTTGTGGTGTTTGCTTCGTATGGGAGCAGAGAATCGCTTCGCAGCTTTAATGAGGGCGGCCGTCCTGTTTGGATTTCACCAGAGTTTGTTTTCGATCTGGACGTCTCGTCGACTAAACCAGGCTTAAGACTCTCGCGTACCGAGCTGAAAGAAATGGTTGGTCGAATTAGATTTGGACAAAAAAGGTGTGAATCAATTTGGAATCTCTGTTCCGGTCACATTGGGATCAGCTACGCGATGCTCAAGTTTCTAAACAACGCGTTTGGTTCAGATGATCCTATCAATGCCGGCAAGATCGAGTCAGTGCTTCGGTCAGTCAAGCTGCTTGAAAACATTTGCCGGACGGGAGAAGGTGCCCCCAGCCCCGAAGCTATTTGCAAAATGATCCGTACTGAGAAGGTATTGGTTGATATTGTGAACATGCTCTAAAAGATGTTGCTTTTGGCAAACTCGTTTTATACTCGAAATCTTGAAGAGTATCTCGTGCCGAGGCACTGGAGAGTTTGATTCGCTACGGCTTTCTCTATGCGGATGAAAATCAGCATCTCCACTTCGCGTCGAACATGCACTTGACGATTTGGGCAGACCAGAGCCAGTGGCTCCGATAGTCACGAGTCTGGCACAAAGAGACTTTGTTCAAGTATACGTCAAGCGAATGTGCTCATGTCGTCTTCGAATGATGGCGTCGAAACACCTTACTAACGTGGCACAAGAAGGGATGAAACTATACAGAACGATCGTCTCGTGTTTACCTAAGGGAAAAGATAAAGTCAGTCCTGAATGCAGCTCAGTAAATGGAAACTGATGCGTGGCCATCATGGTTTACACCAAGAATATTTCTTGGTGCTAGACAATACTCGGCGTTGCTGGCGAACGCTACGCGCATCACATTGAAAGCGATCTCAAGACGTTTGGAGATAAGACTGTGGATGTTAGCCATGTACCGGTTGCCTTTTTCGACGGACATGCTGGCCATCTCACAAAGGAAGGTAGCACCGATTCGCGGCACGCTTTCTTCGCGAACGGATTAGAAAGTGCGCAAGTTGTTAGACGTGTCGACAAGATCGGCGATCTTAGCAGCAAGGCGAACATTGTCAGTTTGACGGAGTGATATTGCATGTGGTTGATTTGTCGTGATGTATGTCATCACTTTGAGTGACCATCGGCTTGCTGAGAAGAAGTATTTCAACAGCTCTAAGCCGAATTGTTTTTCTTAAGGGTTAAAGGGGTTAAGTTTTGTTTCTCGCATGCACTGAAACCCTGAGGATCTTACAATTTTGCAGTGAAAGCTAATTTTAATCGCAAACGACCAAAAATTCAAACCACAGAGACGAGAACAGTTAAAATATAAACCATAAAAGATATCGAAGAGCTAGAATACTGCCAATGTGAGCCTTTAGAAAATGACGCAAAGCACAATTCAATAGGCATTTGCGTGCAGAAATGCGATAGCCAACAAGTGCATTTGTGACGATATTTGCGGTTCAAATCTCTAAAAGAAAATCACACAAATTTGCTCGAACTTTGCCAAATGAACGTCAAGACCGTGGTGACCGCAAAATCTGCTGCACACCGGCGTCGATGTAGGAAGGTCGTGCTGCTGCATAGTCTTAGAAGCAGCATTAAAGAAAGGAGCTATTTAACTGTGGCGAGTCTACACGATCCTTCAGACTCTGTATGGCAGAAAATCTATGATGACGGACATTACGGCAGCTTTGTGGCACTCGTTTCGCTGCCTCCTGCCTCGTTTGAGGTACTTCTTGCCGAGTTCTCCAAGTTCTACAAGCCTAAGTGGCGTCCTGGCCAGCGAGGACGCCCACCCAAGCTACGGTTCCAACATGCAGTTCTTGGCTGTGTCTTACACTACCTCACATATGCTATAGAGCAAAAAACTCTGTGCGAGATATTTGGTATTCCACCATTGACTCTTTCTCTGTAAATTGCTACTGCTGAGGTTGCTCTGGGGCTCGTGGATGGAAAGAGCTATCGAGCTCAGCAGCCCTCCGACATCGACTTACAAAATGCACACTATACTGGTGAGAGCTATTTAGAATATGCTACTGTACATTTGCTGACGCCTCCTTGTTATCGCTAGGTTGGCTGCATTCTATACTTGGCACGAGGACGTAATGCTACGGCTGTGATGGTATTATAGTCTGGGGGAAGCACAACGGCCCTGGCTCCTGGAATGACGGGGAGATGAGCTTCGCCCTGCAAGAGAAATTAGCAGACAGCAGATTAACAGTCCCGGGTACTGGGGTTGCTGCCGACACGGCATTTCCCGTGACGAAAGGGATGGGAGGGTGTATTGCTACGCTACTAAAGGACGGTGATCTTCAGTGCGCGCATCAAGTGCCGCCTGTGCATGGTTGCTATCAGCAACGCAATAACATCGCTTCGACAAGCCGCTGAGTGGGGAGTGGGGGGGGGCACCACAATGCTATGGGTCATTATAGTTATCGGTATCCTTCGACCCTGTCAAGCGTGGTAGACGCATCAACAACATTTACCGACTTTATGATTTTCGAGTTCGTCAACCTGAAATAAGTCAGATTAGCTCCGTCTTCATACAGCAATAAATGTTCGTACCACCTCGGCTCTCCATGCCTTTAATCTAATCTCGGGTTTTGGCTATCTCAGCAATAAGGGCTAAGAGTCGCAGTCTCTCTCGCTCTTCGCGGCGTTCAGCTTGCGATTGACGCCCCAACTCATCTTGGCGGCGCTGGGCATAGCGCTCGCGGCGGTACTCTAGCTGCCGAGTAGCGTTGCATTCCTCCATCGCTACAATAGCGATGCACCAATCGTCATTGTCGTTCGACTCTAACCTGTGAATAAGACGATTAACTTTGCGCCTCCTTCGAGCAGACTCGGACAGTACCTCAGTACTATCGGCTTGGATCTTCTTACTTAGCTGCTCTAGCTCATGGTATGTCCTGCCGGTGCGAGAAGTACCAGCAGCAGATGCTGTTGTCGATTCCTATCCAAATATTGTTATAAGTTAGATTTAGTAAATGAACAGCGAGGCATTAATGGGTAGAATTGCCAACTGTGCTTGACTTGGAGGCATTTATGTCCGCGGCCCCGCACTCCATTTGGGTGAGGGACGTCGTTACGATGCTAAGAGATGTCTCCTTAGGTTGATGCGTCGGATTCTCCCCGTCAGTCGTCCTTAAGGGAGCTTCCTGGGCTGACGTTACCGTGTCGTCTAGCAGCAGCACGCCGCACTGATTTTCGATGAGCCGATAAACGCGCTTGGCTTGAGCGACATCTGCTGGGCAAGACGGATCTCCTGTTGGTTTGCGCGTGCTCTTCAGAGCGTAAAACTTCCGCCTAATAGCATCAGCATCACGTCACGTGATTCACGTGCTGTAAAACCGTCGGGAAGCTTGGTATTGTACTCCAGCTGCACCGCACTCCACTGGTTTGATCCAAACGGAAGGATTCGCTCGACCAGGCCAAGCATGTACAGAGTCTCAGGCGCTGTCCAGCCTCTTCCTCGGACCATCGTGACAAATTTAATAGTGATGGAGGTACTGCTAGTTCGATGTAGGAAGGCGCTTGCTGCCCAACCGCGTTTGGTTGGACGCGTTTGAGACGTCGCAATCTGCAGAGACTTCAAATTGGTCTTTGCAAAATGCGAGCGGTTTTGCAATACCTACCTACTTGTACTGCAACAGGATCTGTGCCGTCTACATTTGCGATTTGCGATAATTTTTGAAGGCGCCTCAATGCCTCGAGTACGAAGGAGCTCCAATAGTTACGCGAAGTAACGAAGTTACAGGCAGCGAGCAAGTTTTCTGTAATTTCATCAGAACATCACTGGCAAGACCGTAAAAACAGCCCAGCACAACATACCAAAGTATATCCGGAAGAAATACCCTCACTAGAGAATTGAATTCAGGTATTCTTTTTTTTAAAGAGGAACTTGGAAATGCAGGCCCAACTAAAAAGTAGTTGAAAATATGGTCCGAATTCCTCCGAGTTTTACTTCTAATTTTAAAATAACTTAGCATTTATAGGAAAATTGGTGTGAATTACACTACAAGTAGATTGAGCACTGCTGCACGGGCCGTGCAATATGTCGTTAGCGTTCCTGTCCAAGAAGAGCTGGCATACGGCCAACCTGCGCGTACGTATCTGTTACTGCTCATTATCTGCATTTCTGTTTATCCCCAGTCATTCGCTGCGCTCAATGCTCCCTAGAAATGAGCTCACAACTATAATCGTTCCCTTTTGGGTTTTTGCAGAATGTGGAGAAGGTCTGGATTGCTGAGCAGAAGCATGCGGCCGAAGAGCAGAAAGTCGCGGAGCTGCGCAAGAACATTGAGGAAGAGCGGCAGCTCCAGGAGCTGCGACAGCTGCAGGCAGCACGGGGCGACAAGTCGGCGGCCATGGAGCGCTTAGACTGGATGTACGAAGGGCCGTCGGCTGCACGAGAAAAGACGGCGGAGGAGTATCTCTTGGGCAAAGAGTACAATGGTGAGGAGGAGAAGGCAGCCAAAGGGGACGTAGATTTGAGCACGACTACCAAGTACGGCTCCCTGGTACTAACAAAGAGCGCATTGCCGGCCAATGATGCCTTCCAGCGGTTAAACGAGGACCCCATGATGCTCATCCGCAAGAGGCAACAGGCAGCTCGCGAACAAGTTCTTAAGAATCCAGTCAAGATGAAGAGAATCAAGGACGAAGTGGATCGCTTAAAGGAAGATAAAAAGGCTCGCAAGAAAGCGAAGAAAGCTGTTAAGAAGGAAAAGAAGCACGCTCGGAAAGAGGAGAAGCGACGCCTGAAGAGAAAACATGTTTATGACAGTGGGAGTGAGGCCAGTGCTGATGAAAACGAAGAGAGGGCTGATTATCGACACAAAGATGATCTTTCCAAGCGTCAACGTGGACACGGGCGTGATCGAGAGAGAGGGAGATCCCATTCGAGATCGAAGTCACCACGCTCTGTACGTCATCGCAGTAGTCGAGATTGTAGTCGTCCGCGTCACAGCGATAGAGAACCAGCGCGCCGTGAGGCAAATAATCGATCGAGTCGGGATCGATTTACCGAGGAGCGACGCGGAAGAGGATCGTCTAGAGACCGACGTGGTCCAAACCCGACTCGTGACCGTCGCTATCACAGCAGAAGCCGCAGTACTCATCGACACGAGCGACGAGGCCGCAGCTGTAGCCGGAGTCCCCGAGAACGTGATAACTTCGGTCGAACACGAGATAACCGACGCGATCGTAGCTCTCCCAGACGTGAAAGTACGCGTCATGAGCGAACCTCGTCTCGCGAGCGTCCGAGGGAATCCGCTAATACTCGTGACGAAGAAGAACGACACAAGACGTCTGAATCGAGACGTAAGCTCCTTGATCCAGACGGAAAGTACGGGCTTATCAGTAAGGCAGGTGCTGTGGCGTCCAGGGATATCGATACGTCATCGTTGGGGCCGAACGCCAAGTACTTGGAGAAAGCCCGTCAAGCGAAACGTCTTGAGGAAGAAGAACGTCGACGCAAGCTTGGGAAATCTTCTCGCGGAGACCATTGTGAGCTTACAGACGAGGAAAAACGGCAAATGGCTCAGCAGATGGTGGAAGATGCGAAACAACGCGATGAATACATTGCCAAGCGTGCGACGCTGAAGAAGGACGAACTGGACAAGCGAGAGCACGAGGCTTCACGCAGCAACCCGGAGTTTCTCAGGTACGTCTTCATTTTCTTTTCTCTGCTCCAAGTGATTCACCCACTAACAATTCTCGTTGTTGTCGTTGAAGAAAACTGCACTCGGAGGCATATCTGGATGACGAAAGCAACATGAGCGATCGCCTTCGCCGGAACGCTCATTACATTCAGAGAAAGGCCGATGCGTCCATCTTTTACTCCAAGTAACGAGTCGAACTTCATGAGATTCATAAACTTTTGAAATAAAATAGCGAATAAAAACCAATAAAGTGTTATTCCTTTCTTTTTGTTACGACATGGAGAGGAATTACAAAATGAAACATTCCGGACATGCAGCGAGGCGACAATGTAACATCTGGATGATGTAAGGTGGCGTCGCGTCATTTTCCGCTCATAATGCAAGCAATCGGTCTACTGGAGATTGTCAGGGGTTGCGTGAGAGAGCGAGAAAGCGCTACTCGATATCGCTCATGTCACTGACATCACTGTCTTCTTCCTGGTTGCCCATTTCAATGGGCTGCGACGCGTAGTTCCGCACATACTCTATACGATCAGGAAAATTAATACAACTCAGTGTAGACTCTCAACTCGCAGGTGCAACAGCCAAGTCTCGGACCTTTCACTTTTCTATTGTACGACTCGGCGTCCTTCATGAGCAACGAGGCCGCCTCACCGTTCAGTGGGTCGCTTGGGTTCGGGTATCGCAGTAGTTGTGGGATGAACATGTCGAAAATGTTGACCAGCTCTAAAAACACAAGCAGCAACAGTGTCAGTCTACTCCACAGTAGCTTATTTCATGCGCAGTCTCACCAAACATCGGGCTCCACGTTTGGTTGATCACGTCCAGGCAAACAGAACCCGATCTGATAGTCAACAGGACGCAATAGCTGTCAGTCTGTTGTTAGGCTTTCGAGAGAAAATCACGATCGTACGTTTCGTCCACATTGGGGTGGTAAATGCGGTTCACGAAGCCAATGGACGGAGACTTGAATGGGTAGTCTTTGGGCAGCGTCACGTGGATCTTCCAGGAGCCTCCTTCGTACGGAGCTTCCCACACACAAAGAGACAGAAGCGCCGTCAGAACGGAGAGCCTCCTGCGCTCTCAACAAGACACGCACTATCTTTTGGTCCGTGAAACTTAACGTCGAGGTCGCTCGTCTTGGACTCGTCCGTTAGATGCACCTCGTAGTCGCTCATCATGCTGCTCAAGTCAGGAAAAAATATGAATAAAGACACACTCTCAAATGTCCCGTTCATTGGCATCTTGAAATGGCATCATGGTAGACACGCACAGCTTCATGACGTCAGTCTCGCGGCGCTTGTTTGCTTTGTTCATGATAGAGGGGGTGGAGTTAAGAGGTCGCGGTGCTTTGCTTGCGTCTGGCGTGCACGTTATTCCTGCCTGGCGTTCTTCAGTTTGAAGAGAAAGGAAAAAGCAATTAAAGTACCCCTACACTCACGGTTGCACCTACTTGAGATTTGTAAGCATGGAAGCACCCTCAGTGTTCTCAGATTTTGTGTCTTTTCATCTTACCGTATTCCTTATGTGATTGGCGACGCTCGGTCATTAGCGACAAATCCAGCAGCCAATCAAATTGATTTAAATTTCTGCTTGGCGACCAATATAATTTTGAGCATGTAAAATAGTTTTTCTATGCAGGTATCTTTTATGCTGGCAGAAAGGCTGGACCACCTCAAGAATTTGACTGTCGCCAATCACATAAGGAATACGGTACTTTTATTTCGTGTGGTTTACATAAAACCCTGTCGACACCTTAGACATGACACACGTTGCAGGATAATAAATAAACGAACACAGTGTGAGCAAAATGAAGTGGCTCTTGATTGTCGAACTGAACATGATGCTCACGTGTCGTTGTTTGGTTTGACCTCAGCTTCTGCATGTGCTTTCTTGGCTGCAATGGCTGTCTTCGTGGATCCTTTCGGTCGACCCCTTGGTCGTTTCACATTCGGCGTGTCTGCGCTTACAGGTCTTTTGTTGCGGGATCCCTTTGGTCTGCCTACTGCTTTCTTGGATGCCCTAGATGTTTCTAGAGCAGATGCTGCAGATGCACCCACCTCCTTCAACGCCGATAAAGCATCAGCAACACTAGAGCTTGCATGGAGCTTCTTCACACGATGCCGTGGCGTGGGGGCGCGCACATGACGCAGCTGCACGCAGGAGAACGGGCACCGCTCAAGCCGAAAGCCGGAGCCATCAAATATCAGCAGGCAGTCTGTCTCCTTGTTCTCCAACACTTTGCCTTTAAAGCTCACACCGCCCGTTGACGAGCCCATGAGCACCTGCACTCCTCGAGACCTGTCAACACTCACAAGCGCGGGGGTGCTTTTGTCTATGGATGCTGGTTGGAATTCGTAGCCAAAAGACGCGTACACGTCTCCTTGCCCTTCATCATCGTCAGCCATCTCTGTGAGGGTCCGTCCTAGCACCACCGGATACTCGCATTCATCAAGCGGGGTCAGAGGCATCGCTCGATCCTCTTCGGATGCCATCGTTGTTGAACTGCTTAGGCGATTGACTGGTCAGTCTTTCAGCCAATCCGAGGCAACTTGAAGGGTACGCTGTACCAAAAGCACGTCAGTCCCGCCGAGGTTACATATTTCAACGGTCTATAACCGAATGAGCACAACCCATTTGTCTCCCGTTTCATCCATGTTGTGCACAGCACAGATAGCTGTGAAATGAAAACAATCTACCTCACCAGTTCTACATTGTATTTCCAAACCTATCGCTAATTCTTGCTAATTAAGCAGGTGGTCACAATTTTACGACGTCTGCGAGGAGATGCAAATTGAGATTGGTACCCAAATTGAGTGACTTTTACGTCTGAACTAGTCTGTACTAATTTCATGACTATTTTATTGGGCCGGCTGGTTGATCGTATTTTACGTTAATACATTCTGAACCCTGACACCCTTTATGGATTCTACCCCCGCCGAGTCTGTTAGCGTTCCATAGTTTTTACAACCAGAATAGTCACGACATTCCATCCCTAAAACTGCATACCTTGGAGCGTTGGCTGAGATCGGAAATGACGGGTTCCAGCACCAAACCGACATTCTGGCTCGCCTTTCGCGTCGTCGGATTGGCATCGCTTGCAACAACCGCTTGCCATTGTTGCATCGGCAGCTTGACCAAATAGACAGAGGTAACGGGTGCAGCCAAACTAAACCAGACCATCCAATCTTTTCCGCGGGTTTTCAACAAACAACCCTCGCCCGATCGTCCTCCGTGCTCTCATCGCCCAACCCACCTCCGACACCTGTACCGCATTATACGATCCTCTTTTAGGGAGCCAGGTCCCACGTCTCCAGTGTGTCCGGAAGCTATCATTAGCGAGCGATCTGTCTGTCAATCAGTTCCCTCTGCCGGTTCTTATACGGGTTTCAATCCGATCCACTCCAGTCGGTCAATTTCCAGTGACACATCACTTCACACGTCCACCCCGAAACAAAGAGCACCCCACTGTCCAGACTCCGTTCCTGCCCGTAGCACTGACTGACTAGTCAAATTCGAAAGCAGCACGGACGTCGTCACGGGGCTGCTATCACGATGGGATTGGGCACCGTCACGCTGCTGGAAATTAATCAAGTCCCAAGTGGTAAACGGATCGCCTTCTGCCTCCCGTCGGGTGAATTCGTATTTGTTGCGGACACATGCGCGCCCGAATTTAGTGCTAACAACGCTGCGGATCTCTACGGCGGAAACCTATTCCAGTTCCTGATGCTTCGGGATGCAGAACGGCTCGAGGATTTTCTGCAAGCGCAGCAGCACTATGGCAACAGCAGCACTGGACTAGCATATAATCCGTCACAGCAAATGCGCATCGTAGTGAGGCTGTCGAAAAGCCTGAACACGCAACTGTGGATTCAGCTCTCGACGATCCCGCTGACGCTACGAATGATGCGGTGTATCGACACCATCCGAAGTCTCAGTAGCACACTAAGTCAATTCGCAGACTCATCCAGCTTCGTGCTCTCAGATGACGAATTCGGCTCCGTGTTGAGGAATCCATCTGAGAAGAGCGGGTTGTCGCAATCAACGGACTTTGCCACGGTTGCGCCATGGCCGACAGATGAAGAGGACGACTTGACATTTCTGGAGTTTGAAAATAGCTGCCTGTCCCCAACGAGTTTCACTTCTATCGTGCCGTTGGAGCTGAAACACCTCCACTCTAGTTTTGTGATGACTCATAGCTGGCTGGGTGACGCTGGAAGCGAAGAGGCCGATGATGAGCTTAGGGCATCACTGTCCACACTAGCGTTTGAAGCCGATTGGACCACTGAGTCCATCGAGAATGACACTGCACACGTCCTGTTTTCAGCAGAACCGATTGCCTCAACTTCGTCAGAAATGAATCCCATGACGCCGAATAAGCCAGGTTTCCGGGAAGCACTCGTCACTTGAGTCGCACCTAAAGTTTTACAGTGGAACACTTCATCCGCATCCCAGTATTTTTTCCTAATCTAATAAAAAGCAAAGCTTACTCGGCGTGCTATCTCAGAGCGAAAGTCTTGTGGCAACAATGGGTCCAATTGTGATTGTACTGCCATCCGTGCGGTTAGTGCACTGTTTGCATATTTCATGATGGCTGCGTTAACTCGAAGGGTTCTACTTGCTGTTGAAGCGTTTTCTGCATTAACTGGGACCTTTTATGGGGAGTTCCAACTCGTGCGCAATATAATTCATTTCAATAAGGTAAAATGCCAGTTTAAGTCAGTGACAGATGAACAACTTTAAAAGCTCGTAATTTTCAACGGACACTGAAGATGAGAATAAAACAACCACGACTGGAATTATCAGAATCTCGTCTTTCTTATTGCTAAGCGCAACACATTAATTGAGTACTATTCGGCCATCAGTGGCGGTTTGAAATTACCATCTTTTTTCGTCGTGTGCCAGTTTAAGACAATTTTAAACTTGACTTGAGTATGGACAAGAGACTTGTATGTACGATCGTGCACGTACTGTTGAATTTCTGTAAATTCCGATTAGAACCCACGTAGAATTATAACCTTGACTTGAATCAAAATAGATGGTGTATTAAAATCCGGAGTATTTAGAAGCTCACCTCGAACAGAGCCGTATCACTGCTAGCAACTTCTGACTGCTGCTGCACTAGCACCAATTCGCTCTCCATGCCTTGTTCCTCTTCGTGTTTGTGCTCGCTCTCGTGGTTGTGATCGTGGTATTGCTTTTGATAAAGCTCCTGGTCCTGGTGGTGCATACCACTCGCTGTCGTTTTGTCAAAATTATGTCTCTCTGCGATTTTCTTTTTCTCTTCGGCGCGTTTCGTTGGGAGGGCTGGTCAGGTTGCTGAAGCATCTCACGCGTTAACAATCTACCAGCCACTGTCTTGGTTTTTCTTTTCCTACTCTGCTTTTGTTGGCGAGCAGGCAGAAGCAAGATATCGTGCTGTACTGTCTCCTTGTGTCGCAGCCAAGAAGCCTTTTTGACGGTAGCGGAAACTCCGTTGTGTTGGAAATTGAGTAGCTTCACGTGCATTTTTACAAGATTTAACGGAAAAATGCCGCAGCTCTGAAATCCGGATGAGATATTGCTGTTGAAATTGCAACTTGTCCACGCTAGTGCGGCCATTTGAAGAGCCTTTTCCTTGCTGATAGTATTAATCCCGTTAGCTCGAATGATAGCATCAATAAGATCTTGGAGCGTATTTTTGAGCGAAGAAAACACGGCAGTATCCGATGGCTGCAGTAAGTGTGTGCCGTTGGAATACTTTTTTCGGCTTCCTTGGGCAGAGTGGGATCAGGTCCGCGCCGTTTGCTGAAGGTGAACGGGCCATTATTCCTGTTCTCACGCCAACTAACGTCCTCTCTAACCCACCGGAACAAGTTTCGAGCTGGAACACCGCTCTCCTCGCCAATAGCTTCAATGTTGCCTCCCTCGCGAATAGACCTCACCAATTCCATCTTCTTCTTGCTGTTATACGTTGTGCGACACTTCATGGTTGGAAGCCAGATCAAAACTGACAGGTATTCGTGGAGGCGAGCGCCGCTCTAAAAATAACCAATCAGATGCGTCTACGACTGCTATTGGTGCGCTTTAAACTGATCCAAATGACTTAAACTGGCATTTTATCTTATTATTGAAAAATACAGATGTGCGTTTTATGGCTTAGATCGAGCACTGGCATAAATATGAGATGAGATATGGATGAATATCATCACCGTTACCAACACAGTTTTTAATTTGATTATAGTATTGGCAAAATGACTGGCACGACGGTTTTTGACTAATGAAATCAGTATTTAAAATATATCAACAAATAAAACTCACTAGGGATAGGGTAAAATGATGAACGTCTGGCAAGTTGCGCGGTACATAACCAATTATGCTATCTTTGTCAAAGTAAAAACAATTTACTCAAACCGAGTAGTAACCCATTGCACACAAAGACGTTTTCAGAAGATCATGTTAATCAGGAAAAACATACATTTTGGACATGTTACCAAGGCTGTCGCTAGGGCTTTTACAACAACTTAAGTACACTGTTTTATGCTAAAAAAAAGTCTATATGAAGCTTCGACCAGTTTCGATATCGTTTTACCTGTTCAAAACTCGTCCGAGTACTGAGTCAGCGAGTCCTCACTTGCATCTTCTTCTCCGCCGAGATCGTTAAGCGATGTTATCAGACGACGCTTCTTCTTCGCACGGTATTTGGCCTGTTGTAGTCGCCTCTTTTCTTTAATACTCATGCCAAGTTGAATCAGTCTGTGCTGGGACTGCCGATACCAGTCGCCTATTTCGTCTCGAAGAGGGCTTATCGCGATGTGGGAGTTTGTGAGAGCAACACACATTCGAAAAACGTCGCCATATAGATCCTCGCTCCAGCGAAACTTGTCCGCAGAAACGCGCCACAACATGTTCAGCCTACCAAAATAATTTTCCACGATAACCCGGTCACTAGAAATTCTGTCGTTGTTCACAAGCTCCGGACGAGTCAAGTTTCTTCCTTTTTGGGGGTAAATGCATCGCAGATATTGTGCTGTACATTGGTATCCTTTGTCGGCGAGTATGGCCCACTGATCAGAAAACCTTTCGATCAACGGACCCTCGTCTTCGAGTTGGCTATCCCCTGGCAGCTTTAGCATTCTCCCAATGTGAAATGACTTGTTTTCTTTGAACATCGACACATCATGCGTTGCGCCTTTGGCGTGATCAGAGCAGTTGATCGCGTACCCATGGCTATTAACCGACACCTCCACCTTCAGGCCATACAAATGATGTTTGCCACTGTAATATTTGCCGTTTTCCTGGATACAACCTCCTGGACGCCAGCTTTGCTGGAATGTGACGTCCACGGCATACAAAGCGCAAGGGAAGTTCTTAAACGTATGCCGAGACGTTACAGCAGAGCGCATTGTGGTGAGGTCAGCTTGTGCCTCAACTTGATCCACATACAGTTTAGGTGACAAAAGCCGTATGAACTTAGTTACAGTGTCGGTAAACGTAGGAGTCGGAGTTCGGAAGCTCTTGCTGAGGGTTTCCCACGTCCCTCCAGCATGCAACGTGACTAGGGTCATGAAGAAGGCGTCCTTTCCGCTGATTTTAGAGCGTCTACCTCTTCCGACGCTGTAGTTGACTACAACGTAGTCTCTCACCGACAACCAAAGCTCGTTGAACTCTCTCAGCGTAAACTTTGTCATCTCCTTAATGCCAGAAGATCCACCAATGTCACGAAATTAATCGAGGAATGGAGTGTCAGTTGACTCATTGTCAACGTCGTGCAGTACTGTTGTAGGGAAGCGGCTCAGCTCTTGTTCACGTCGAAGCTGGTCCTCACTAAATTGTGAGAGTACATTCTCTACATGCTGACGTACTTGTTGCTGAGAGCGAACTCCCCGCCAAGGTCTTTGAAGTGTTGTATCTGAAGCACTTGATGCAGTTGACGTTCGACGCGACATTGTCCGAGTTAGACTTGGTCTTCTATGTGGGCTTGGAAAAGAGTTAGTAAATCGGCAAATGAGCCACTTTCCCAACGGGTGACTTTATTCCACGGGAGAAACTGTGTTATTCCTGTAGATCCTGCCCACCGAAAAAAACACCATCCGTTCAGAGTTTAACATGTTATTCCTGATGTTGACAATATTCTGTCATATGACGGGTAACCCAGCGGGTCGAACATTGTTCCCAGTAAATCATCTACCCTTTTAGAAGTTGCTAGCCAACTATCCAAGCGTTTTAATGTAGGCAAGGAGAGAATATGCTGAGAGTCAATACAAGCCACAAGTTGAGCGCACATTGTTCGTGTATTTGCTTTTTTGCCGACAAAACACTCCAATTCATTATGAGTCTGGAAGACCTCGCTCCCTCAAACTCTCAGCGCGCTCGCCAAAAGACAATCAACAACTTAGGTCGCTTCATTGCGGCCGAAAACGTCTCCATGACTTTCGTTGCGGCGTCTCTGGTCGCGGATGCAAGTGGTGCCGTCTTTTTATAGCTGCTAGACCGTTTCGGCGTCCACCTAGCCAATTTGGAGGGGCCGGGGAGACAAACCGTTTGCAAGGAGCTCACTAATGCCATGTGAAGAACTGGTTTCTTGACATGTACACGAAGCACATAGCTACAATCGAGAAGAAGCTACTCAAGATGGGTCAAACCCTTGAACGGCACTACCTCAAGCGTGTAGATGGGGCGGGGGTTCATTGGAGGCGTTTGACGGAGAGTTTCAGCTCTTCTGCAGCGACCGTGTTTTGAACAGGTCGAGAGGATGCGTTGGAATGGCGTTACAGCAACCGTAATACAACACTACGACAAGAATTAGAGCAACCTTATCGCCTAAAGCAACCCTGTTCCTGGGTAATTTATTTTAAATGACACCAGCGTCAGTTTAAATAACGGGACCTTCACTCTAGATTTAGAGTTCAAATTCACACGTCACACACATATTACACAAAACTATGTGACCCACATCGTGAGCACGTTGTGATTTTCAGGTGCACCAGAACAACAGACCCACTCCAAGGATGGAGGAGAGAACTCTAGCCCGGGAGCTGCTACGCGCGAGGATTAACGAGCTCGCGGACTTGAAGTCGAAGCTGGAGAGTATGACCACAAGCCTGGAACAGCTATTAAGACTTCAGCAGGACTTTCAGTCGCGAGTTGAAGAAAGCGAAGAGCGCAATTATGAGCTGGCAACAACGTTAGATGGCAAAGGTAATGCTCCAACTGCCCATGACGTGATGACATTCGAGGTTCTGCTCGAGATGGTCATTAACAGACTGCAGCGCTAGTGTAACAGGTCAGGAAAAAAATATGACAGGCTGTATTAGGTCATCAACAGTTTCGAGTCATACTACCTATTTGAGCTTGTCTTCTAGCTTTTGTTGAATCTCCTTCGCCATAAAAGCATCGGAGCTGTTCACAATATTCTCTTTATTGAGGTTCATGATAACCCACAGCATCCTCAACCGCATTACCTTGATGTCATGACTGGATACCCCGTAGTTCTGCTGCTCCACATTCCCAGTGAGATAGTTATGAGCTTGTGCGACTACTAAGACACCACAACTAGATCCGTCAGGTTGCTGTGGGGTTTCAATCCATTCAATCGGATCTATAATCATCTTCCTTTCGATCATCGAGGCCTTATGTCACCGTAGCCCAACCCCACGAAGGCCTTCTCTTTCTTCACTGCTCTCGTCAATTTGATTTTTTGGTATTCCTACCCAGACTTTCTCCAAATCGCTGCGATACCCTTCATCAATCAGAGGCTCGTACATGTAGACGTGTAGCCGCGTCATGTTTTTTGTAGTTTTCAGACTGATGATAATAATGCCCCAGTGGTTCGCTTTCAAATTTACAGGATTGACGATGAACTTGACTTCTCCAATTGAAGTACGCGGTGTGGTAGGTCACCCCATGGCCCACGTAAGTGATGACAATCCAAATGCACCCTCAACCGAAGCTATCATTGTTTCGAGGCAGAAATCAATCGGGCTATCATTCAGCCATCCACGACAAACGCCACCCACTATGTTTTCAAAGCTGATCAGACCCTGGCCCGAACGTGTCCTAAATTCGGTACGCAGCCGAGAAGAAGCGAATTTTGAAATCACCTCGTTTGCTAGAGCTTGGTGGCGATCGCAGACATCATTCGCTGACAGTCCACAAATGTTCGCTTGCCGAGCGAAAAGATCAACATCCGACTTGACTTTTTTCCAATCCTGCTCTAGCCACTTGCGGTCTTTAAACCACGCTCTTCCCTTCGCCTTGATGACGTAGAAAACCGCTGAAGCATGAATATACCGGCTAGAAGCAACGTGGTACAGCAACCATAATCAGTAAAGCAACCCTACTATAACAACCTTACTCATAAAGCAACCCTACTACAGCAACCGCGAAACTAAAGCAGCCTTACCCGCTGAACTTCCAAAGCTTTGGATCGATAGACGCAACAACGTCAAGGACAATTCCTTGTTTTTTTCACGCTGTCATCCAGTGCATCAGGTTGTCGCTGCTCGCTTCTTGTAGTTGTAGTCGCAGCCTGCATTGAACGCGTGAGATCAGCCGGAATCACGAAGCTGTGCATGTACTTAGACGGCAGGATTGCTTCCCATTGGCAGTCGATTGTACGGGACCTCAGATAGGCATCGTCCAGTTGAATAGGGTACTTCTCCATTATCTCGAGCACATATTTGAGATTGGGAGTGCATCGCGCCCACATGACGAGGTGATGCAATGGCACAGTAAGGCCACTGGGATACTGATAAACCGCTAGACGCTGCAGCCCCGACGTGAGCTTCGTTTGCCGCAGCTGCTTGGCTGTTGTACGTGGTCTACCGCGACGTTTCGGTTTGGGAACACTGACGACGTCGACTTGACGCACTGGTGTCGCGGCTGGTGCTACATGTTCTTGTTTTATTTCACCAATCTGTGTGGCTGGCAGTGCATCGTCATCGTTGCTGCTATCCGAGGAGTGTTCGTGACTGGTGGTTTCCAGTAC